CCCAAGGTGGATACACCCCACAGTTTGAGAAACGCTTCAGTAGATATATAAATAATTAGAAGATACGAAATAAATGAAAATAATAACCATTTTTTGAAACAGCCATATTTGGTAGCGAGGCCTCCACTAGATGGATCCACCATGAAATTACTTTCCCATTTGACAACTTACTATGTCGGCAAAGGCTAAGTAAATAAAATACAACCCCATTAAAAACAATTCATAACTAATGAAAAGTTTACTATTTTGATAAAAAAGATTTACATTAATAATAATAAAAAAATATTAATTTCACGCTGTTTCTTCTTATCAGCCAAGGAATTTAATAGGGGGAAAAACGAGAAGATATACACTCTTAAATAATCAACAATATTACCATAATTGTGAATTTATGCTATAAGTTGATCCATCTATCAACTTAAGGTTAGTTATAGGAGAAATAAACAACTCTTATGCTAATTCTAAATATATTTACTTGGGGAAATATTTTGATAAAAAAATATAGTTTTAATATTCATTGAATCAACATTTTCCATTCGCTTACTCAGTCAACACAACTTACATATAAATGTATTTACCAAGCGTGATGCAAAACGGCTTGTATGTAAAGTAAAATATTAATATTTATGTAAACACTTAGAATTAATATTTTTTCATGTTATGAAAAAACACTTTTCCTTTTTTTTAACAAATGTTGACCCTCCGTATACACTAGCTTCCAAAATTTAAAGTACAACCTGTTTTTCTTTTTATTGTCCGATTTTAAAGTGAATGAACATAGAAACAAGTACGAATGCGATAATCATAAATAATTTATACATTATTCTCTACAAGGTATAATTGTTATTCACGAGAATGACATTTTCCGGTGCTATACCGATTTTTTATTCTTCTCAGAGATGATTCTGTAAACTATTAATTGTTAACCCTTTCTAAGCCGATTAAAAGTTACACGATTAGCTCCCCATCGCTACGATTTTCATGTATTAGAGGGAATCGAAAAAGCACAAAGAGGCCAATTTTTCTCGGAAATCCTCTTCAAAGTCACTTTATTACATTGCAAAGCCTTCCCAATAGATTTATTGATAGCCATGGAAGGAAAAGAATCATATTTCGGAAGGACGGACATGTACGTCCGGGACACATATCGCACTGGTTGGGCAGATATATACTTCGGTGGCCCTAAGGTATCCGACTACCCTAAAATCATGATTTTTTTCAAAAATTGACAAATTTTTTTTCATGATTTTATTTTATAGCCCATCATATAAGCTTAATAAAAATACCAAGTTTTTTATTTTCCAATCACTAGAACAAAAATTACAAGCGTTTTAGTAAAAGCAGATGCCATAACTTTACACAAGATGACAAACTTTAAAATGCGTTTTACTCGAAATGTGTTTTTTTGCGAAAAGTTCAAACGGGGACAGTGATTGCTCAAAAAGTTTTAAAAATGATTTGCTGAAATTTTTTGTGTATGTTATGTATAACAGTAGAAGTGTTTTGATCTTCAGATTTATCAATCGCTGCTTTGTTTTAAAATTTACAGTCCTTTATGGGGATATAATCACTTTCTTTTTAAGCAATTTCGTATAATCACTAAGATAAAGTGCTCTAGGTTTTGTAAAAATTTAAATATCTCTTATCCTGAAGGTCATTTCAAACACGAATAATAAAGTAACACATCAAAATTGAAAAATTAAGAATTTTCTCATAAAAAGTTTGTACAGAGCGGGCCCCGTTTATGTAATTTTTTGTACATTTTTACCATTTTTTTCCCATTTTAATAATAATAAATTTTTTCTGCTTTCAATTTTAAGATTTTTTCCTTAAAAAATATACTAAATAAATCTAAAAATCACAAAAAAAATCCTCATATTTCCATTTTTTCAAAATAAAGTTGTCGCAACTGATTCGTGGTGCATATGTTTGAGTTTCGGCAGTTTCTGCTTTGACGATGGAGGAGAGAATTACCCATGGTGACCTTGGTTTTTCAGGTAGTGTGAATTGAGCTGGTCATCTTCGGGCTCGAAGTGCACGCGTGAAAGGCCTGGAACGTAAAGTAATTAACATTCAACTAGTCGTTAGGCTCGTTTATTCATATCCTTTCTTGCTTGCGACTTGTGGAAGAATAAGTCACTCTATATCCCCTTTCTATAGAAAGACTTGTTGTTGGTTTGGAATGGCTTTTTGAGAGATACTCAAAAAGAGAAAATTTATTTTCAGCCATTACTTAAGTCCCCAGTAGGTTTAAGTGTCTAAGGAATGTTTTTCGTTGACGTTGTGGGTAGTCTCTTGTTGAGATGGCGGGTCTAGTTGACACCTTCTCCACTGAATCACTAATAAGGATTTATTGCGAATGTCTTATTCTTTACGGAAAGAATGCATGAGCAACCAGTAGCGTTAGGCCTTGCTGAAATCTACGAGGGCTATTCAGAAAGTAGGGAACGTTTCCATCTGACGTCGCTAGGCGCGCGTCCATCACGTACCCTTTGGTGTCTGAGCGTTCGGCATCCCAGTCGACATTCAGCCATCACAACGGGAACATTTCACCTCTGCCCGTTTTTCCGATATTCCAGTTTAAAATGAGCACTGTAATTGACAATCCCGCCAGTTGTGAAGTGCGGACTGTGATACGGTTTTTGTTGGCAAAAAACCTAAAACTTATGGAAATTTATAGGCAAGTGTGTGAAGTGTACAGAAACAACGTAATGAATGAAAGTTCAATCCGAAAATGGTGCATTCAGTTTAAAAACGGCCGAACTAACGTTTGCGATGAAGAGAAGAATGAACGACCTAGCATTGTGACTGACGAACTGGTCGCTAAAGTTGATGAAGAGATTCGTGAAAACCACCGTTTCACAATAATGGAGCTTTTTGCTTAGTTTTCCACAAGTTTCACAGACTTTGTTGTTTGAAATTGTCACACAAAAGCTAGGCTACCGCAAATTGTGTGAAAGATGGTTGCCGAAATTGCTTACAGACCACCATAAAGGTCAGCGAATGGGGCATCTTTGACATTTCTGGAGGTCTACGGCAGGTATGGCGTGGCGTGCTTCTGGATGTCACAATAAACTCTGAACGATACTGTCAAACTTTGTGCAACCTTAGGAGATCAGTTCAAAACAAGCGCTGAGAAAAGTTGACGTCTAAAATTTTGTTTTTGCACGACGATGCCCGACCTTACACGGCAAACTGCACCCAAGAACTCCTTAATTCATTCAAATCGGAGGTTTTCTCTCATCCGCCCTATAGTTCCGATCTTGCACCTAGTGATTTTTACTTGTTTCCAAGAATGAAGAACTGGCAGCAACACAGCACTTTGACGACAAGGAGCTGCGGATGAGCGTCACTTAGTGGCTTAGATCGCAGGCGGCAGAATTCTATGATAAAGGAATTTTTAAGCTTGTTCATCGCTATGATAAATGCCTCACTTTGTTTGGTGACTGTGTAGAAAAGTAGAATTTTAGTCGCTCTTTCTGCTGTTTATAATAAATTTTTTCATGTACTTAGTTTCTTTTTAATTCCAAAATGTTCCTTACTTTCTGAATAGCCCTCGAAGCATTCAATTCCTGGGCAACCATTTCAGGAACTAGCTGGTGATGAGTGAAGAGTGGAGGACTCATGGTGATCTAGGCAGGGGGATTTGAATCGTCCACCTTCGGACCCGAAGAGCAAGCGTTATACCTATACAACGTTAAGCAATCCCTATCCGGGCCAATTGTTAAGCACTTTTATTCATGTTATTTGTTGTTTGGGCCTTGCAGACGAATGAATCACTGTAGCGTCATTAATTTTCATGTTACTGTCGTTTTGCAATGAAACTTGAATTGTAATTTGATTTCCTTTTCTTGATCGTTTGGATCTCTAGCTAGACTTGGTTACTTATTTAATTTTATTCAAAAAATACGTGCTAGCCTTATAATTGTGCTGCGCGTGATTTAGAATTATTCACTATTGTTTGAAATAAATCATTTTTTCTATATAATTCTTTTTTATCTCTTGCCACATCGTGTAGTCGTATCATAATGACTTCGTAATGCATTAAATATCTGTGCATTTTTTTTGTCTTAATTTACAAATTTGAAACCATCGCAACGAAATTCTTTCACATAAAAAATGAGAATTCTTCAGCCATTTTGCTCACAGCTCTGCTACGTGACGTCCGATGTAGTAGTCCACATATAAAGTGAAGGGTTCGTGGTCAGTACCAGTAGAAACATAGATTTGTGTCAGATTTTGGTGTACTTAATGAAGTCATTCAGCACCACCATAATGATATTTCAATTGGAAAATAGTGCAGGAGTAACCGAGTAGTCATGGTCATAATCTCGTGAAAGGCGAGTCATGAGCTTGAGTCTAACTGCCATAGAACTCACCATCTAGAGGGGATAATACATGGCAAATCTGTCACAGCTGGTAACTGTGAAAATTTGGAGAGTAGGTGTCCGGATCAGGTGTCTTCTTCATCACTTGACCAAGGTTCAAAAATATGAGGTTCGTTGCCAATAGCTCTCTTGTTGCCTTAACTTGCACACCATTGCCCAAACTTCCAGATCAAAATTAGAATTTCGAGCCTCGCAAGATTTAACGTGCTTCAGCAACGTTTGGCGGCAGGTTATGAGTGGTACCAGTACTCGAAACCGGTCTCGACCTTTGCGTTAACGAGTTCGAGAACAAGACCACTTTACTCTCCTCATAAGCATTAAGCTGTTTTGTTTCCTTCTTGCTTAAACATGTAGTGAGGTTATTCAATATTAAGCCCCTTTTTTTCAATCCCTACTATTAGTTCACTCACCCCTTATATATATATACAATCGTTAAAAAATATACTTTCTATATTCCTTCATTCAAGTTCAAATATACTTTTTTAAACCAGTAGTGGATGACCCTTCATGTTAATACAGTTTTTCAAGTATCGATTCATTAATTAAATTAAAAATGAATAAATTGTAAGAAACAAAAATAATATATAGAGAGATAGGGAAATCGTTCGTATTGCCCCTGTTGCACAATGGATAGCGCGTTGGACTTCTAATTCAAAGGTCGTGGACTCAAATCCCACCTGGGATGGCGTAATTTTTGAGAATGTGATTTTTTTCTTACTATGGTATCTTATTAGAATTATTAAATTTAAATAATGAATAAACATAAACAAATGAAAAAAAGTCCAACACCATATATATAAAACAAAATGGAAAATTGCTTTCTATCTTTTCACTTAATGTTGTGATTCTATCATATGTATATACATATTTATACGAATTGTAACAATTAACAAAAAGTAACTACAAAAAAAATTTTCTTTGTTGACCTAATGAGAAGGAATTGATTTATTATGTATAAATATATATATAGAGAGAGAGAGAGTGACAACGGCCAGATTGAGTTAAATATACATTTATTAAGGGGAATTATTTACAAGGGAGGGCTAAAAGTTAGTAAAAAGTAATCGAAACATCATTAGATCGTTGGATTCCACGAGGCGTTTCGTTCCAGCGCCCTCGTCATCGTCTCATCGCCGTCGCTTCTCTCGGTCGTCTCCCGCGCAATCGTTCTATTCCAGTCTGGTTTACTCGTTATCCTCGAACCGCCTTGTCAGATAGGTGGCGCTCTCTTGGCATTACGTCAATAATGAATATAGGAGGGATACGATATGTGCACATCCATTCCTACATCGGCCATCATGACCAAGCATGCGTCCTCGCATGTAAAATACAGTGTATTTCAAAATTTCATGAAATAAAACTGAAAAGCTAGAGGAAATAAACTTACAAATAAAACTATTAAAACAGACAAATATGTATCAGAAAATCAAAACTAATAATTAAGAATAAAAAAATAGGTATACAGATGGAAAGAAGACAAACAATACAAAGCAATCTTGAGTATGGTGATAATGTCGAAAAAAAAATGTTAAAGTAAAAGTTTGCGTTCGTAATGTAACATTCATTTGTTAGGCCATGGTTTCAAGTATTCAACACAAGTACTTGTTTTGGTTGGGCCATCAAAATTTCCACATTTTTCGACGTTGTAGGTATCGTTAGGTTTTACTTGTGTTATTTTATATGGACCAATAAATTTATTGCAGAGTTTTTGTCCAGGTCCTTGTTGCGTTTTTTAATAGCAACTAAGTCCTTAACACTGTATAAATAAGGAGATTTTCGTCGAAGATTATAAGACTTTTTGTTTTCATTTTGCACTTTAAGTATTTGCGTTTTTGCCGCTTTACGTAGGAGTTCTCTGTTTTCATTAAATTCGAGTTGTAGTTGTTCGTCGATTAATTGTTGAATGCGCAAATCAGTCTTGTTATTGATTTGTGTTCCAAAGAGTAATTCAAAAGGAGTGGTGTTAATGCTTCGTTGGAATGTTGAGTTTAAGACTTCTTGTAGTGAAGGAGCATGTTTGAACCATTTCGTGGGATCGTCTTCTGACATCTTAGATAAGACAGGAATAATTGTTCGATTAATGCGTTCTACTTGACCATTAGCACGTGGCAAACCTGTAGTAATATGGTGAAGTGTAATTTTTTGTTCCGAACAATAAGTGTGGAATTCGTCAGAAGTGAAAGTAGTTCCACGATCAGTGATAAGAAAACGAGGATTTCCAAATGTAGTTTTTTGAATGTCTAATTTTTTTTATTACCTCAGAAGTAGATGTAGTTTTTGTGGGGTATAACCAAACAAATTTAGTGAAAGAGTCAATGACAGCTAAAATGAATTTGTAGTTTTTTTTCTTGAAGTTGCTAAAGGACCAAGATGATCGATATGGTATGTATTTAGTGGTATATCATCTTTGACAAGAGGATGGAGAAATCCTTCTTGTTTACCAGACTTTTTATTTTTCAATATACATGTTACACAATTAGAAATATATTTTTCAATTTTGGATTGAAGTTGCGGTATAAAATATTTATTTTTATATGTTCTAGAGTTCTTTTAACTGAAAAATGTCCTTTGTCGTGAGCATTTTTGATAAAGTGATGCTGCATCTCGTCGGGAATAACAAGGACTTCGGCACCGTCAATAAATTTATATAGTATATTATTTTTAAAACAGTAGTTGTCATATGGACCATTTTGAAGAAGAGCTTTTATGGAAAGAATGTGTGGGTCCAGCTCTTGAGATTCTTTTATCCTATGCACAATAGAATCATTACACTGGTTTGTTAAAACCTGTATTCTACTTAAAGCGTCGACATGGGCCATTTGTGAGCCAGAGCGATGTAAAATGGTGTAATCATAATCTTGTAAATTCAGGGCCCAACGCGCGATTCGTGTGTTTAGATCTTTCTTACTCATAGTTTTTGTAAATGCATTACAATCAGTAATTATTTTGAAAGGCATTCTAAAATGTACACTTTAAATTTTTGAGAGCTTCTATGATTGCTAAAACTTCGAGTTCGTAGCTGGTATATTTTCTCTCCGTTTCGGACGTTTTTTCTAGACATGTAATATATAGGATGTAAGGAATTATCATCGGGGAATCTTTGTAATAAAACAGCAGCAAGTCCGTCGATTGATGCATCAGTATGTATTTCGGTTTCACAATTTTGTCGATATATACCTAAGACAGGTTTCTGACAGAGCAAACGTTTTAACTCGTCAAAGGAAGCTTTTTGTTTTACATCAAAACTGAAAGGAGTATCTTTACGTAAAAGATCACTAAGTGGCTTAGCAATTACAGAATAAGCAGGGATAAATTTACGAAAATATCCAGTGAGACCTAAAAAACGTTGAACTTCTTTAGTTGTTTTTGGTTCGGGGTAATTGACAACTGATTTAGTTTTAGAAGGGGAAGGAAAAGTTTATTATTTTCAATAATATGGCCTAAAAGTTCAATTTTCCTATGCAGAAATTGACATTTATCAAAATTTATTTCCAATCCGTAATCACTGGACACTTGAAGAACTTTTTTGAGTCTCTCAATAGCCTCAGATTCATTTTTAGCAAGGATAACTATATCATCCATGTAAGGGAGAACAATTCATTGAACAACTAAGTCACGAAAAACTGTATTGATAAAACGTTGAAACGTTGAAGGGCATGTAGAGAGTCCGAAAAGCATTTTAAGGAATTGAAATTGACCATTTTGTGTTACAAAGGAGGTATATGGGCGACTCTGTTTGTTAACAGGCACATGGAAAAAACCATTACGTAAATCAATGGTACTGAAAACTCTAGTATCCTGAAGTTTATCTAAAATATCCTCAATGAGGGGCAGAGGATAGTGATCCTTAACTAACACACGATTTAATTTTCGAAAATCAATGCAGACTCGTGGACTGCCGTCTTTTTGCGGACTACTAGGACTTGGCTAGCATAAGCAGATGAACATGGTTCAATAACACCATTTTGTATCCATTCATCTATTTGTTTATCTACTATATCACGTTCAGTAAAAGGTAACCGTCTTGGAGAATGATAAATTGGTTTGTCGTCCGTCACGGTAATGCTTAACTCAATATCCGTCGTTTTAATTTTATTCGGCCTATAACATACGAGTAATGCCTCAACATCATTACGAGTTTGTTTTTGAATTTCAGGGCCAATATCAAATTTAGGAATGTCGTCAGTAATTGCGAAAACAAATGGTTGTGGAGAAGCGTCGGATACTTCGTTTTGTAGCTTAGAAAACATAACACTATCAGGGGTGATAGTCAAATTAGCTTGTTTAATTAGATTACAACCAATAATAATATCAAAGTTCATCGAGTGGTTGGGGACAACATTAATTTTAACAGGAAAGTCTTGGTTGTCAATTGAAACAGTTGAGTTGAACGAACCAATTACATGAGTTTTTGAAAGGCCAAAACCAGTTAGTATATTACCACTATTTATTAAAGAAGGGGAGCCTAATTGATTCCATACACTTTCTTTCATTAAGGTTACTTGACTTCCGTATCAACTAAAGATAATATTTTTTTTTTTAGATAAAATTTTAACTTCTTTGCACATAATAGTTAATGGGGTAATTTCATCAACATTATTAGAAGAAGGGATATTTTTTTGAGGACAAGCATCAGATTTATGGCCAAAATTTTCGCATAATATACACTTTGGACCACGATGTTTATCTGGGCAAAATTTAGAAATATGACCGGATCCCGAACAATTAAAACAAGTTACGTGATTCCTATCTCTGAAATTTTTATTCTCAAATTTTGAATTAGGCTTTGGTACATTGAATTTTGGATATCTATCATATCGATGTTTATGAAGTGTACTTTCAACATCACGGCGTTGGCCACTAAAGTTTGGATTACGCGACGTATCATAAGAGTGATTTTTGCTTTTATTTTGAAATATTTTGTCATAAATTCCTAATTTTTCTTTAAATTCCTGAATTGTTGTACATCCATATAATATTAGCTTATTTGAAGGAGAATCGGGGATTCCATTAATACAATATTCCATAATTGAAGTTTCGTCGAGAAACCCTTGACCTCGATTCGCTAATTCCCGAATAGCGACTAAATATTGGAATACCGTTTCATTAGGCCGCATTTTTCTATGTTGTAATTCCTTATGCAATTGAGCTTGATTTAATTTTTTTCCGAATTCCTGAATAAGTAATGTTTTTATACAACTGTAAGAGTTTATACCACGCTGAGATTGAATAAATAATTTTGCAGTTCCTGTCAAAAGCCGTTTTACAAAAACAATTTTTTGTTGTTCGGTTATTGGGCAAAACGTTAAATTTTCCTCCACATCAGAAAAAAAAATGTTCAATTGAGTATGAGTCATCTGCACTGAAAGAACGAATAGTTAGAAGTAAATCTTTAACAAAAGCCACGATAAATCGTTTTTCGAAATAGAGGGAACAGCTGACTCATTAATTTGGTTAAGTGCGTCAGCCGATTTCCTGTCTGTAGAAAGTGGGGGAAGCAAAGGAATTTTCTGCATCCCGCGGGGGCATTCTTCTACATCTCGTGTATTTAATTTATTATGAAAAGCGGATAAATCAGCTAGTGAAAACAAAATATTATTACAAAGTTCTTCGGCAGTTCCATTTGTTTCTAGTTGTAAAAAATTAGCTAAACAGATTAAATCGGGTAAGTTAAATTTTTTAAAA